CCTTCCTTACCCCACTGTCACTGGAGACCATGGACTGCCAGACTCCTCCACTCTAGCCCCGTGGTAAAGCAGGCCAGCCCTCCTCCCAGCCTGCAATCTCAGCGGAGGCCATGTGGGGAAAATCAGCAAGGATACAGAAGAACTCAACAACTCCATCAACCAACAAGATCTAACAGACACTTACAGGACACCATCCAGCGACAGCCCAAAACACATTCCTTCCATGTGTCCGTGGAGCATACACCAAAAGAGACCACATTCTGGGCCATAACATAAAATTTTTAAATGAAAAGAACTGAAAACATAAAAGAGTGTTGTCCACCCACAATGGACTCAAACTAGAAAGCAGTATCAGAAAGGTAATAGAAAAATATCCGAACACTTAGAATTTAAACAACATACTTCTACTGAATAATCTATGGATTAAAGGGGAAGTCTCAGAGAATTAAAAAACAATATATTGAACTGAAGGAAGATAAAAATAGAACATCTCAAAATATGGAAATAAAGTTAAAGTTGTACTTAGAGGGAAATTTATAGCACTAAATGCATACAATCAGAAAAGGAAAAATCTCAAATCAGTTTTCTAAGCTTCCTCCTCAAGAACCTAGAAAAAGAGTGACGTAAGCTCAAAGTAATCAGAAGGAAATAATAAACAAGAACAGAAATCAATAAAATTGAAAACAAACAAACAAAAATCAATGAAATAGAATTTATTCTTTGAAAAAAAATCAATAAAATAGACAAACTTCTGGGCAACACATAACACAGAAAACACAAATTACCAATTATTAGGAATGAAACAGGATATCACTACATATTCTTTGGACATCAAAAGCTGTCTAACAAAGGAAAACTACAAACAACTCTACACAGATATTTGACAGCTTAGATGAAATTGAGCAATTCCTTTGAAGACATAAACTATCAAAACTCACACTAGGAGAAATACATAACCTAATTAGCCCTATTATCTATAAAGAAATTGAATCAATAATTTTCCAAAAAAAGAAAGTGCCAGGCCCAGATGGTTTCACTGGTGAATTCAACAAAACATTTAAGGAAGAAATAATCTCTTCCAGAAAATAAAAGCAGATGGAACGCTTCCTAATTCATTCTACGAAGCCAGCATTACCCTAATCCCTAATGCCAAAATAGATAAGGTAGGGAAAACTAGAGAACAATATTTCTTTTGATGAAATGTTTTGTATCTTGACTGTATCAATGTCAATATCCTGGTTGTGATAGCATACTACAGTTTTGCAAGATGTTATCCCTAAGGGAAAATAATACAGAAGGTGCAGGGGACCCCTCTGTATTATTTCTTACAACTGCATGTTAATATACAATTATGGCAAAATAAAAGTTTAATACAAATTTCAAATAATAGTTATTAACCCTTACAATATCAAAACATTATTGAATTCTAATGTCACATGTGCTATTTTAAGAAAGCAAATGTTAAGAGTAATTACTTTATTATAAGAAATTTTAAAAGAACCAAATGAAATAGCAATTTGGTTGTAGTTGCAGCTCTAATACAAATTGCAATGAATATGCTATAAGGTTTATTGGGAAAAATGACAGCTGCTCTCAGGGTATATACTAACAAGTTATTATGCTTCACAAATATGCCATTTTTTGATGAGTTGAAAGATCATGCTGGTTTTAATGATGTAAGCCTGCTGGCTTTAATTACACAAAAATGTTGATGGGATGAGCTTGAAATATTAGAGTGCTGGGTTATCTAAAGAGAAGAGTTTCTATTCTCGCTCTCTGTATATCTATATATCTCTATATCTATATTTATTTATATATACACACACACACCTGCCTGTGACTCATATAAGGAGTATTTACATTATTTGAGCTGCCTCTTAAATAGTTCAAACATTCTGAATATTACATCTTTCCTTATAGATTCTAAATAGTTTTATTAATTTCTAATGAATGTTATTCAAGCCTACTGACTTGAGAGAAAGGCAAGAATAGTGTTTTTAAAGTTGGATAAATCAAGCTATTACCAATTAATTGATTTTATTATAATATGATAAATCTGCAGGTAATATTAATCAGGTAAATTTTCTTTTTTGAAAGGAACAATCTTTAAGCTAAGAAACTAGTGAAACATTACCTTAACAGATTGAATTTAAGCCCTGAGTTTATGAGTCAGTCCAATTTTTCAAACGTGTTTTATACTATATCCTTCTAAATGAATGCATAGGCAAAAATCTGATTCTGCATCTATAAGAGCACTGATTGTGGAGCCAAACTGCTTGAATTCAAATCCCAATAATTTCCCTTAATGAACCTGTAAAAGTAACTTAATTGCTGCATCTGCAAAAATAGGTGCAATGATAATATCTATCTAGGAGTAGTGTTGTGAGGATTCAATGCCCCTAGAACAGTGCTTGGCTCACAGAAGCACTCAGGAGTTGTCAGCTATAATTTTTATTATCATTATTATCATCATCATTATTATTACTACTGTATTTTACATAAAGCTAGTTTCTAAAAGAAAACTTAGTTTGCTATAAGTATTATCTAGAAAACAATTTAATAAAAACTAATCAAATTAAGTACAATCAAAACTAATCAAAAACAAAAAACTCAAGATTTCTTCTAAGCATATACCATTCACTTAATATAATTCAGTGAAGAGTTTGATGAATCTCTCCAATTAATTATTCTCTTCAAAATACCTGAGTAGATTATCCAAAGCAAATGTCTATATGCTTGGGAGTACCTTAACTGTGAAACTAAGGATTTGTTGTTGTTTTATATAGCTTTGTAAAAAGATACTGTAAAATCATCTTTAGCAACTAAATTCCCCAGAAGGAAAAAAAAATTAAGAACAGAAACTTCACTCTCAAGGTACCTACCTAATGGTTACTACAACTGCATCTGCCACAAAAATAAAGAATGCCACATAACCCAGAATAATCTCTAGTAACTCTCAACTAAGGCATTCCTTTCAAAAGATTCCCTTTTTTATCTATATTTAGTCTTTTAAATTAAGCTTTGGAAATAATACTTCTACTATGACTCCAAAGACCTGCTTAGAAAAGAACCTGCATAAGTAGAAAACCATTTTGGAATATATTTTATTTAAGGGTGATTTCACTGCATTATATAAAATGAATGTGTAAATACCACTAGCTTATATTTTCTACAAAATTAACTATTATCAAAATGTTTTTCTTTTAAATCATAACTGTAAAGTTGTATGTCATTTCCAAAAAAGGAAAGATTCTTGAAAAGAACAACTAATGAACAGTATTACAAACAAGAAGAATTAGTATCTTCCTTATCTAAGCAAAGTACAGTGCTTTTCAAATCAAGTTTAATAGATAGGATATCTGTTCTTCAGGAAATCCATGAGTTATTATGCCACAGCTCTTCCCCAAACTAACAACAGCCAATATAATCTCCCCTGAAATTCATTTCAAATTAGGAGATAGCTTCTTGTTGTTAATTAACTTATATCTAAACTTTGTCTTTTAGAAAAATGTTAGTGGATCTAAAAGCAGTGTTCCATTAAATGAATCTAACAAATAGACAAGGCAGGCGGTGAGGGCTGAAGAGAAAAAAAAGGTCAGAGGGAGGACACTTAGATGTAGAGACAGTCTTGGTCAGCATTTATAATCTACTTCTATTACTATGAGCCATATTTCTCCTCTGGTCAGAGACCACTCCAATGCTGCTACTGTTGCCCAGAGTTTTGTTAAAAGAAGACACTGAAAGGCTGCAGAGTCTAAGCAGGCCTGAGGCTACTTAATCTCATTATTTAAAATTTTATAATTATATTTAAATTTCTTATCTACACTGGTTTAAAATAGCTTTATTCCACTAGTGTACGTTATCTTGATTCAGCAGCCCAATCACCTAAACTTTTAATTGAGAAAAATTATATTATTCTGATTTAGCAGAGATGATATCAATTTTAACATGGCAGAAAGTTGTCTTTCAATGCAGAGTAATTAAGCAGAATTCCACGTATTTTCAAAGCTTTCTGTATATAATTGTTTCCCATGCACCTCAGAATCTTTGTTAAAAATGTACAGCACAAACACTAAACTTAAACAATGAACAAAAGATTTATTTTCTCCAAACACAGATTTAAAGAAAGTTAAAAGTCATTTACTTTTACACAACCATTTAAAACAATACTGTTAGCACTGCAGTGACAAAGTCTCCAAATTACAAAGGTCAGTTAAATAAAAGAAGGCAAAGGCAGCAGAACTCAGACACTAAGAATAAAAACAAAAATAGATCCAATGCAGTATTTTGAGAATGAAGATCAATGAAAACAGTTGCTCAATACCATATCACTTAGAGCATTATTTCCTATACTGTTATGAGAGATCCTTTGTATTCTAGCATTTCTTCTTGGCTGGTTCTTGACATTTGTCTTAATAAAACCAATACGTAAGCCAAACATTTTTCATTATCTGAAGTAAAAAGGTAATACATTGCCTCAGTTAACAAATACTTAGCTAACAAGATAACGTGAGAAGACAGGATGAAAATATAAACAGGATGGTAAGGAAGGAGCAGCATCATAATTTATTTAACTATTGATCTAAGTAATAAGGCAGCAGGTTGTCTTTCTGATCAAAACTACGTACTTTTATAAAGTAATACAAATGCCCTTTCTTGCTCCATAGTGAAGGTCTTCACAAGAACCAACTGAGGATGAGGTACAGGAAAATGATGATCTAAATCATAAAACAATGACTAAATCATGAGTGAATGATATGCTATTTAATGCTGTGATTCCCAAAATTCTAAGTACAATAAACAATCTTACTGCTTATGCTTATGAGAGCATAGCAATTAATGAGACAGCTAATGTACCGAATCAGGAATGAAGATAATGGTGTATATATATTTGTTGAGCTTAATCAGCAGAAGCAAATAAAATTCAGTGCATAAAGATTTTCTAACACCACGCCAGTAGTTCCATAGATAAAATAATTTGGTAGCTCTGGTTTTCTTACCTGTAAGAACAGCTTTTGCTGAAGGGTCTGCCAGGTCCAGGGCTGATTTCCCATCAGTGTTCCGAATGTTTGGATCAGCTCCGTGCTGCAGCAGCACTGTGCAGGGGAAGCAGAAACAGTATCTTACCTCAGGGATACAAAGATTATTTACTGGTAAGTGTCGTCTCGGCATGGTGTAGGCATAAACATACATTGCACAATTTTTTCTCTTTCAAGAAAAAAAAAAGAAGAGGAGAGAAAAAGAGAAAAAGGAAAAAAAGCACTGCAGCAAAGGATCTTCTCTAGAGTAAAGCAAAGTTGGCAACTTATGGTACAGTATTATCACATGACTTAACATCATAAACATGAAACCAGAAAAATCTCGCCACAGACAGTTTGGGTTTGCCTCCTTCGGGCAGCAGGATGGGAAGCTGTGTGCACACTGCCTTGCACTGTGCAATACGCTAACTGGGAGCCTGCCCTATCCTGACTACCACTGTGGCTGCTTGTTGCTGCTGCTGCTTTACTGCTGAATTTCCTAATACTTCCTCTCCTCAGAAGAGTTGTAATACTGTGCAAGCCTTTTAGTGGCTCACTGCTTACATATGAATCTCACCCTAACATACTGGCTTGCTTCCAAGAAGTTTCACAGACATAGTAATGCATGCAACTCTGGTCCCCTGCAGTCAAGCTGCAAAACGAGAACTGCCTTCTATGATAATTCTTTCCATCAAAAATGTTTAGAAACAGAAACTCTATCATTATAATACATGCTAAGAAATATTGAACATGCTATATTGGGTAGAAAGTACTTATAGAGAATTCTTAGATATGGGGGCTCCCAAAATACACAATCACTGGTTAAGTAAAACCCAGATATAATCATTTATTATTCCAAAACATTTCTCAACTACATCTGGTATATGTGTGTATGGAGGGAAGGCGGAGGATGACAGGTGTTGCTGTAAAACTACCCAACCAATGGCTAAACTAATATACTAAAAACTAGTCTAAATAAGCACAGTTCAATTACAAGTTATTCTAACAGTTCAAATAGTTAAGATTTTGTGTACTCCTGAAGAGAACAGTTGTTGTTACCACTTACCACTATACTATAGCATAAATTTAAAACAAAACAGGAATATTAAATTCAAAGAAGTGTTTAAACATGTTACATAATGTCTAAAAACACCAGAGCCACTACTGCTAATGAGTCCCAAATTTTCATTCATTCAGAGTTCCAGGCAAAAGTACATACATTCTTTTGGGGTATTTGGAAGGCAATCCTCATATATTATCAAGTAATAAGTCCTGCTGTTTATAAAGCACTTCCTCTTTCTTTCATGCATAAGCCATCTAGTCAATGGCTTTGTTATAATATACAAAGGCATAGCCTTATCTAGAATTAGGACACAGATACTGGGACAGTGTTTACAGCATCTCTTGCATAAATCTTGGGCACGTTCAGATTTGAGATAATAAAGACTAGCCACAGCTTGAAAATAGACAATGAGATTTTGCCAAAACCTTCCATATTATTGTATTCTTGAATGTAAGCAATGAACATAATTATTTTCCAGATGTTTATTAACTGACTGAAGAGGAAGTAGAATAAAATAGCAAGTATCACAATATCAAACTGTAGTAATCTTTCATCATAATGAATAAGCTTTCACCGCAATATTTTTTTTTTTTGTATTCCAGGAAGAAATCCCAATGTGAAGATTTGATTTTTAAAAGGGCCTTATCATGAAGTTGTCTCATGTATCAAATGCAAAGCTGACAGCTATATCTTTATTTAATTGCTGAGTGATCACATGCAAGGGGTAGGAAAACAAAGAAATAATAGCTACCATGAAAAGCAGGGTTTTTCATTGAATATATCAAGAACTTCAGAACCTGCTTTAAGCAAGAAAACAGTATGTTAATTTAACAAGGCTTGACTATAATATGATGGGAACTTATATTTTGCAACTTAATGAGTGGTAGAGGCAAAACACTGAAAGCCTTCTTGTTCCTCCAAAAGTCACCTAAAACCTCCATCTTTTCTGCGGTAGCCAGTACGTCGCCTATTATATCCTTGCTATTTTGTAGTAGAAATCTGCTGTTACAGTTTAGTTGTAGTTTTGTTTTATTTTAGGTGATTTTTAAAGGAGCAATCCTTTTAGTAGAAATAATCTGTTTTCTAGACATTTCTGAGTCATACTTATCTCTTTCATTGGACCTGAACACACAGAAACATCCAATGCAGAGTCATGTAGCAACAAGGAAGAAGCGGAATTTGCCAAACGGGATGCTGATAACAAAATCCACATTAGAAAATATTTAACCAGGCTAAGCAGGACAAATTTCTTAGACTATTGGTCTGTTTTATATTGTCCCAATCAGGTCCCTAGTTACTGGAAAAAAAATACTACACAATAGTAACACCTAAGTTTTGCTAATAGTTATGTAAACGTCTATATTTTAGGACTGCTAGAGTTCATGTGTCTTCCTCAGCATCACAGTATAGACCACTGTAAAGAAACTTACTCTCCTTAACCTGGCAGGATCATAATGGTTCTGGCCCGCTGCTCCCTCCCTCATAAAGAGGCTCAGATCCTAAAGAAGGCCAGAAATTTGTTTAAATGTCTTTAACAACCAAGACAGAAAAACAAGGAATAAAG